AGATGTTCCAGAGCCGTAGAGACGTGGCACCGAGGGATGTGGGCGGTGGGCACGATGAGGGGCAGCGGGTTGGGGTTGGGGATCTCGGAGGTCTTTTCCCTCCTGAGTGATTCTGTGTTTCCACACAGGGCTGATCGTAAAGGAGCTCAGCTCCTCCACCTCCAGCTCCTCAGAGACGGTGGTGAAGCTCCGTGGGCAGAGCACCGACTCCTTACCCCAGGTGGGTGCCACCAGCGCTCCTCACCCCCTTTCCTGACGGCATTTTGCAGCCCCCCACACCCCTGACCGCCTTTCCCTCACGCAGACAGCATGCAGGAAACCCAAAACGTCGACGGATCGGCACAGCCTGAGCCTGGACGACATCCGGCTCTACCAGAAGGACTTCCTGCAGCTGGCAGACCTGTGCCAGGACACGGCGCAGAGCTTCACCTTTGGCTGCGGCCACGGCCTCGGTGACGACGGCCTTTATTGCAACGGCTGCCTGGCCCGGCAGTGCCTCAACATCCAGGAGGGCTTCCCCGCCAAACGGACCAGCAAATACTTCTCACTGGACCTCACCCACGATGAAGTCCCTGAGTTTGTCGTCTGAGGGTGGTGGGGACGGCACCGGCTGCTGCCCAGGGGGGTCCGGGCCCCACCGAGCCCCACTGTGGCCAACCCCGACCCTCCCTGCCATGGGGACGGCCGAGCTCAGGGGGATGGGGATGGGTCCATCAGCGTCCTTCTGCCTCTGGAAGTCGATGTGTGTGCATGAATCGTCTTGTTTCACCTCGGGGAAGCACGAGGAGCTCATCCGGCCGAAGCCAACCCGTGGTTTCCCAGTGGCAAAGATGGGGATTCTCCCCATACCTGACCCCTGTCCTTAGCGTTGCCACTGTCTGCTGGGAAGAAAATGCCAGACTGCCGCGTCCAAGTCAAGCCAAAGAGATGTAAATACCCCAAAGGCCAGTATGGGAAGCGAGAATCAAGCAATAAGCACCAGGGATGTCTGTGCATGGGGGAGCAACGCTGGAGCCCGGCTCTGAGCAGTGTTGCTCGGGGGCTTCGTGGAGCTTTGCTGTACAAAAACAAATCCAGAAACCAAAAATGCCCCCCAAAAAAGGCAAAGGAGAGTGGAGAACGTCATCTGTAATAGTGTCACAATAATGCTTCCCGATGCATAGAAGCCACATATATAAATATATCAAAGTCCGTATGTTTATATATGTCTGGATCTTACAGACCCATCTTCGTTGTATTCCTGCTCCAAAATACCTTTGTAGAAAGGATATACGCCTCTCTCCAGCCAAGCATACAGACAATCATTTGTATTCCAAAGCACCAAGGGGAGAAAATGGACCTTCCCACTGAGGAGAGCACGTATGCAACCGCATTGGGAGCGCAGCTCTGCCCGCAGAGCTTTCTGTGCATCCTTCAGCCTTTATGGATCCAGGAGTTCTGCTCAGTGGTGATGAGTGCCCAGGAGGCAGCCGAGGTGTAACACTCAGTACAGGAGGGTGCGATGCAATGATCACAGCACAATGCCTTCTTAATTGAGATTTTTAATCGGAGTTCAGCGATCGACGGCCAAAGTTTTACCGTATTTTGATATACCACCTTTTTCTTTTTTTTTTTTCTTTTTTTTTTTTTTTAACTGGAAAGTTTTCTTATATATATAAATATATATAAATATATATATTGTTTTATAAATAAGCACAATCTTATTTTTCTAAGGAACGCTGGGGAGGGAGCGGGGGGTCGGTGCCCAAATAAAGCAGAGCAGAGCTGCGCTCAGCAGATGTTGTGTGCAGTGGGATGAGGTCCACTTCCAACCCAAAGCCATTCTGTGGCTCTGTGATCCAAGGGAATCTCCTGCTCTTGTTTTGGGGTTCCTCCTGAAGCACCCCAAAGCCTCCTGGACGGTGGGATGGCTCTGACCCCGCATCCCAGGTTGGGATGTGGGGTGGGCAGGAAGGTGCCCCGCACTCATAGCCAGCCTCTGCAGGGGCAGAAGTGCATAAGTCATTGCTCAGCACTGCTCAGTGATGCTGGCAGATCCCCCAGCCCCAAAGCCAGGCTGTGGGATACAGAGATGCTGTTCATGCTGCTGCACGTGCCCGGGACGGGCATTGGTGGCCTTTGGTACCGCTGGTCCTTCAGCAATAAGGAGCTGTGTGTCTGTGCAAACTGAATAGTCCTTTCTGTGAAAGGATCCTCCCATTGGGATGGCGTGAGAGCAAGCGGCTGTGTTACAAAATCAAAGGCCAAAAATTACAGCTGAAAGCATAGGGAACCCCAGGGCGACGTGGTTTTGTCACAGTGACCTTCGCTGTGTGCCTTGGGTGGCACGGCCAGAAATGACAATAAAGTGACTGCTGTTTGCATCGCTGTGCCTCGTGGAGGTCGGAGGAGCTCTGGCTCATAAAGAAGCGATGGGACGTGGAGGGATGCTGTGAGCTGACCACATCTGCTGTGCTCTGCTCCAGCATGGCTGCTTTGGGACAGGCAGCTTTGGTGTCCCCAGCCCTGTCCCCATCCCCAGCCCTGACCCAAGCGGTGGCATTTGCTGCCATCCTGTGGCACCTCTGGGTGGCAGCTGGGCCGAATCCCTATCCCCATCCTATGTAGGGCCTCGAGGACAGCAGCCACCAGTGCGATGAGCACAGCTGTTCTCTGCTCTGGCTCATACAAGGTGTCCATCTCGCACTGTGCTGGCTGTGTCCCATTGCTTTGAGATTGTCACAGGTGCCATCCCACTGCCAGCAGGTCCCTGAGCCTGTTTCCAACCCTGGGGAGCAGCGGGTGTTTGTTCATTCCATGAACCAGCCTTTCCTTGTCCTCTGCTGGAAGGGGGTGTGCATGGGGAGGGGACGTGGGGTATCTGGAGCAGCAGTGGGCTGAGCACCCAGGTTGGAACTAAGTGATCTTTGAGGTCCCTTCCAACCCCATTCTATGAGTCTGTGACATGATTCTAAGATGATGAAGGTACGAAGTTACGATGGTGATAAAGACAGGAGGATAACGAGGACGAAGAGATGAAGGTGATGAAGATGAAAATGAGGACATTCCATGGCAGGAGGCTGCCATTGCACAGGCTGCACCTATTCACAGCAGGCTCCAAAAATTGTGGCATGTTATCAGAAACCCCCATTTTCTCCAAAAGAATCATTGGTGGGAGTGTGCCCAGAGGAGGGCAGCGTGGTGGGCTCTCAGTTGCTGACTGCCACCTTCTGCTGGTGTGGGATTCTCACAGTTAATTGCAGTATGCAGAAGGGGTGAGCATGAGGCAGCAAGCAATGGTAGGGCTGCACTGCTGACATGGAACAGGTTGCCCAAGGAGGCTGTGGATGCCCCATCCCTGCAGGCATTCAAGGCCAGGCTGGATGTGGCTCTGGGCAGCCTGGGCTGCTGGTTGGCGACCTGCACACAGCAGGGGGTTGGAGCTGGATGAGCACTGTGCTCCTTTGCAACCCAGGCCACGCTGTGATTCTATGGCATCTGACAGCTTGTCCCTATTGCTCCTTCCTAACCCCATGGAGAGGGTTCTTCCCATTTCCACCCCATGCAGCCTCACACCAGCACTCTCTTTGGGATGCTCTCATGTCCCAGCTGCCAGTTTGACACTTTCACAAGTTCTAGCTGTCACAGAGAAGCTCACATTCCATCTCCAGTTGCCTCCATTCCAGACTTGGCATCTCCTGTCATCGTTCTGGCAGCCTGGCTGGCTGAGGATTTGAGATCTGCAGCTCGACGACGTGCAAACGCCACCTCCCTGGCAGGAGGGCTGACAATCTCTGCATCAAACCCAAGCGAGAGAGTCCATGTGGAACTGGTCACAATCAGCCATTGGGAAAAGCTGATTTCAAGTCAAATAATAATGATAATAATAATTCCCATCTAAGATCTAAATTAGAATTGCTTGGAATGTGAACCATTTGGACTAAGTGGGAAGCCAAGCACAAAAAAGTGCAGTTTTAGAAGGCGAAAATGCTGTGGCAGTGCTATTTTAGTTTTGCTGCTTGGGTGCTCCTCTCTGGGGTCTCGTGCTGGGGGCACCCTTGGGTGCTGCTGGGGGCAGCCCCAGCCTCTCCCAGTGGCTGCCAACCTCAGCCATCAGCCGTTGGGCATTGCTGTGTAAATGAAGCCCATTTTCTTGTGGCTCATCGCCTCTCCTTCCAGGAAATGTGCATGGGGAGACCGTGTGCAGCCTGCAACCCTGTTATGGGTGTGATAAAGAGGGTTTGGGGTTTAATAACAGGGGTTATGGGTTTGACAAGAGGGCTCATCCAGTGCATCCCAAAATTCAACCCAAGGCGCCTGAGGTGAACCCACATCCGGGGTGTTGGAGGTCATTTTGGGGTCCAGATGGAGGAAATGCATGATCTTATAAAGAAGCTAACCAGCTCCCCATATCCTAAAAAGATCCTAATCCTAAAATCTGGGCATCGGGGCTTAAAGATTTAACAATAATGTATGTAAAATGAGGAATTGCTGGAGGCACAAGTAGGGCCTGGAGGTTGGAAAGGGCTCAGGAGGGCAGAGGAACCCTAGGAGGGGGAAAATAGGGGATCCTGGGAGATGTGGGGGCAATAGAGGGAAGGCTTGGGGGGTGATGGGGTGCAGGATGTGGTGTGGTTTCGGAGCGGAGTGATGGTGGGGATGGGGTGTGATAAGGTGCAGGAGTGTGATGGGAAGAAGGGGGTGAGGGGATGCAGGGGGTGTTATGGGGGTACAGGAGGGTGGGATGGGCTGCAGGGCTGCTTTGGGGGAAGGATGCCTCCGTGTGACGGGGCTGCAGGAAGCGGGGTGGGCGCATAGCGGGTGGTGGGGTCGGTGTGGGGCAGGGGGAGGGAAATGGGGCGGGAGGAGGGGAAGGGCAGCCCAGAGCGCAGCGGGGCTGCAGAAAACGGGGATCGCGGAGGAGAGGGGGCTCGGGGTGAGGAGAAGGGGAGGGGACAGGAGGGAGAGCAGCAGCAGAGGGAGGAGGAGGAGGAGGAGGAGGAAGTCGGGGCCGAGCCGCTTCCTGTAGGCAGAGGGATGAGCGCAGACAAAGCTGGGTGGGGACTCGCCGCTCCGGGCTGCTGCTGACCGCCCCTCTGCCTCCAGCCCGCATCCCTTCTCCATCCATCCCTCCATCCATCCCTCCATCCGTCCGTCCGTCCGACCGCCGCCGCCCCGCGGGGAGAGCAGGGGCAGCACCGCCCGCAGGTACGGGGAGAGCCGGGGGGCAACGGGAGCGGGGCTGGGGGGCAGCGGGCGCGCACGGAGCGCGCACATCTGGGCGATCCCATGGCAGCGCCATCCTTCGGGGCCCAAACCGCTCCCTGCTTATTGTCCCCCAAAAGGCGATCCTCCCACCCCGACCCCGGCTTGCATCACCCCGTCATTGCTCGCGTTGGATGCCCCGCGGGGATCCCGGCACCCCGCACAGCCCGTAGCCCCAACACGGATGGGTGCTGCAGGGCTGGTGCTGCCCCAGCGCTCAGCCCCCAGCAAAGCTCTACGGGGGCTGATCCTCACTTAATCAACTGATTTGCCATCACATGAACGGCTTTTTCTCGGGATGAATAAGACGTAGTGTTCTCCTTTTTATTTTTTTTTCTCCCTCTCCCACCCCCTGCAATGGGCTTTCCCTGCCCCAAATCCCTCTGGCTGGGATGGATCTGCCCCCGGCACGGCTTAAGGAGGGGGTATTTGGGGTGCCCCATCCCCACCTGCTGCCCCACCCCACCACCCCCATTCTCTCAATGGCTGGGATTTCAATGGGAGTTCGGATTTTCCCCGCTGTGGCCATGCAGCAGGAAGCAGCACAGATCGTGCAAGGTCGCAGGAAAAGTAACCATGGCAAAGGCACCGTGTGCCCAGGCAGCTCCCTGCTGTGCCCAGGGACTGGGGAGTCGTAGAATAGAATCATAAAAATGGTCTGAGGTCCCCTGTGCCAGAGGGAGAGGAATCCAGCCCCAAACTTGAATCTTCTTGCAGGAAAATGGATTTCTAACAAAGGAAAAACTTGAATCTCAGCTCCCCACTTATGAGTCTCTGATAAACTCAGGGTGTGCTGCCCCAATGGTAATGGGGGTGGGAGCATAGGGCAGCGTTGTGCCCCGTCGTCATAGCCTTGTGTGCAATGCTTGTGGCTTTGCCCTACCGTTTGTTTCCCACTGGACAGACCCCAAATCCCCATTGCACCGCCCGGGGTCGGGGCACGTCCCCTTGGCACCAGGCTGGACCCAGGCAGGGGGATTTTTCCTCCTAACTGGATTTCCCTCCATGCAGCTGGAGGCTGCGATGCTAATCCTCTTTTCTGCCATATGGCCGCTGGCTGGATTGAAATATGACTCAATTAATTATTGCCAGGAAAACCCCGGGGTGAAGTCTTTCTCCAGGAGGATGCTCAGAGGCGCTCCGGGCGTTGTTTTCCCACCCCATGCCATGGGCTATGGGGTCAGATTGTTCCCTTCCCACCCATTTTGGGGCTTTTCTTGCCATTTCCATCCCCTTGCTCGCCTACCAGCAGCATGCTGCCTTATGCCACTTGTGACACAAGCACGGCGATCTCCGCTCCGTCTGAATCCCAGCCCCAGGGGCTGGCATCGTGCTCCTTGGGGTCAGGGCACAGCATCCCAGAGCAATGCGGGTAGCACTGCCGGAGAAACCCAATGATGAGGATTGTTGCCAATCCCCAACCCAGCCAACACCTCCACCACCCGATGCTGGAGCTCAGTGCACGGCAACGTCTCCAACTTGGCACGGCACGGCGCTGCCTTTCCCGCCCGGCCCCACTGATGCACCCGCCTGGATTTTGCTGCTTTGGCCTCAAAACGGTGGCGGCCGAGGCATCACTTCTCCCTTTGAAAACCTGTGAGTCATGGGAGGAGGGAAGGCATCGCCGCGCACGCAGTTTCCATAGCAATTGGGACTGGAGAGGCAGCACCCAACCCGCGGCCCTACAAACGCCGCCTGGCCCCACCGGCGCTGCTGGAGGGCTATGGAGCCCAATCCCACACTGGATCCCGGGAGGGATCATATCTGGGCCTCCCCATTTCCATTTTGGGGTTAGAAATCAGGGGATGGCCGTGGGAAAAGCATCATTTTTGGCATGAGTTGTGTCAGTGCTCAGCGGGACGTCTCCTTGTGCCTGGAGCGGGATCAGGGCGAGCGCTCATGGCACGCACGAGTGGGAAAGGCGAGCAAAGGAACCAGGGTGTGGGGTTAATTTTCTTGCTTCTCAGCCTCTTTTCTGGCTGTTTTATCCCTCTGGGTGGCAGTGGGGGGGGGATGGCTGGGAAGGCAGTGGTGTGCTGCATCCCGGACCATGGGATGCCATGGGATTCTATGGGATGCCATGGGATGCAATGCGGAGTGTCCTTGTGTGAGCTACACATGTGAAGGATGAGGTCTGAAATAATGCATCTCCTCCATTTCGTGCAGCCAAAATCATTTTTTTTTTCCAACATAGCGAGTAGAGAAAAAATAATAACCAAAAAAGTCTCCTGAAATGGCATCGTACCAAACCTTACACCTCCCCACCTTGCTGCTTGTTGGTAACAGCACTGACAGCTCTTGGGCAGCAGCAGCTGGGTGAGATGCAGGGAGTGGCAACCACAATGCATTTAAAGGGCACCGTGAAAGGACCTCTCCACCCCCAGCACTGTGGTTGGGGGCACTGATGATGGTCTGGGTGTGCTTCAGCCGGGGACAGGAGCAGCACCGTGGTGTCTGTGCACAGTTTGATGCAACACACATTGTGCTCAGTGGATCAACTCCTTGAGCTGAGCTGCTGTCTTGATTTAACAGGCTTAGCGCCCTCCTTGCATGGGAAGGAAAGTTAGCTCCGTGCCTTCTGTAATACTCCCTGGGAGCTGCTCTTCCTGGGTCTGTAAGAAGGCTGTAACTCAGCTTCTCCATGCCTTTGGAGTTCATCAAGCATCCTGAGCAACAAACACCATGCGATGGGAAAAATAAAACCCATCACAGCACAGGATATTCCCACTGCAGCTCCCGGCAGACCCCGCTGTGCAGCTGCCTCACCCCAGTGCGCTGCCCTGCACCACTCCTGCTGCAGCATCCTCCCTCCTGGGGCTGCAAAGTTCCACCACAACAGAGCTGAGGGTTGAAGCCTTGCAGGGATATGAGCCACGAGCAGTTCTGCTCGAGGGAGTTGTGCTGGGAGGGAGCCTGGAGTTGAAGAATGGGATCAGCTCCTTGGTGCGGGCGCTTCCCCGGCTGGCACGTTGGGGAACATACTGACAGTGCCTGGATGGATTCATGGCACTAATTATAGGGCTTGTCAGTGCTGTCGTGTCAGTGCTGCTGTGTTGGGAAAGCTGTGCTTCTTCAGTGATGGGAATAGGGACAGATTCTGCAGTTGCATCATTCCCCATGTCTCAACCCATGTCCCATGTCCCAACCAATATCCCATGTCCCAAACCATGTCCCGTGTTTCAGCCAATGACCCATGTCCCAACCAATATCCTGTGTCCCACGTCTCAATCCATGTCCCAACCAATATCCCATGTCCTAACCCATGTCCCATATCCCAACCAATATCCCATGTCCTAACCCATGTCCCATATCCCAACCAATAACCCATGTTCCAACCCATGTCCATGTTTTAGCCAATGTCCCATGTCCCATATCCCAACCAATATCCCGTGTCCCAACTCACATCCCACGTCCCAACTCACATCCCATGTCCCAACCCATGTCCCAACTCATGTCCCATGCCCCAACCGATGTCCCATGTCCCAACCCATAGACATAGGGCCCCAAGGGCAGGCGGGGTGTTCCATGGCAGTTCCATGAATTGTGCTTTTTAGGCCATTCTCTGTCAGAAGTGAGACGTTCAGCCACATTTTTTGGTGGTTTTGTAGGGAAATAGCTGCAGCAAGAAGGAGGGAAGCAAGGTGCAGGATAGGGTGCTGCAGGTGGGTGCCTATACCCCATGGCACTGTAGGATCTGGGTGCTTTCCTACACTCTGGGATCACTGCATCGCTGTTTCCAAACCTTCCTGCATCCTCTTGGAGAAACAGCAGCACATCTGAGCCCCCCCAGGCACAAAGCAGTGGGAGAAATTCTCTGTCCCTGGATTTTGAGCTGGGTAGTGGCGTCTGTCCAAGGGTGTTATCTTGGGAATTGCCTTTGAGCAGCTTTGGGGAGTCCTGAAGCATGTCCTAAATGCACCAGGAGCTGCACAAAGCCCATCAGGTGAACGAGTTCCCTCTGTAGCTGCTTGGAGCGCAACTCATTACACTCCCTGCTCTTCCTTCTTATCTCATGGAGCCTCTCACCACCTCCAGACAGCATCTCTCACACAGAGCTGTGCTGGGTGTTGCTGTGACTGCACCCACTCGTTGGCTCCACACACACTTTGGGATGTCCATGCTCCCTCCTGGGGTCCCACTGGCCGTGCAAAACCCACCTCGCTGTCATATTTCTGAGCTGGAGGCTTTGACTCTACAGGATGCTCTGCTGGCACGTTGTGCCTTGTTTTATGGTTAACACTGGCTCCCAGTGCTCCTCCCTGCCTGGCTCTTGGCTTTGACCCGTTTTGACTGGAGCCGGATGGGGAGAGTGGGGGGATGCAACACCTCAGAGGTCACCGTCCACAAGAAACACGGAGACGTGGCACTGAGATACGTGGTGGGGTGGCTTGAGCTTGGGCTTGGAGATCTCGGGGGTCTTTTCCAACCTGAATGGTTCAATGAGAGGAATGGGCTGTTCTGTAAATGGATGTCAGGCCAAAGGGTAAATGATGGCGGTGCTGGGATGCTGTGCTATGGCAAGGAACTCCAACTGAGATTTTGGCTTCTGCCAGGCTGGGATGCGTTGGCCCAAGAGCAGGTGGCCATGGGAAGAGCTGCCCAAGGATCTGCCCCTTCATTTTCATGGAATCATAAACTGGATTGGTTTGGAATGGACCTCAAAAATGTCCTCTCCAGTGCAGAATATTCAGTGTTTCTATGATTCGGTGATTTAGGCTGGACTTTTCTGGTCCATCCACCGTGAGTTCCAGGATCATGCCAACAGCCACTTTCCTTTTGTGGCAAGGGAAACCTGTCCAAGTCTTCTCCACACAGCTGTGGGGGCTCCTCCCCCCTTGTTTGGGGTCCTCTGGGGCCAGCAGACCTCCACAACCTGTCAAAAATACTCAGAGCTCTTCCCATCAGCTCTAGGATTGTATCTGTGCCTGGAGGAGCTATTCTCT